ACACACACGCGCGCGCGCGCGCGCGCACACACACACACACACACACACACACACACACGCACACACACACGTGCATACATACATACACAGCGCGGGACGCCCACGAGGCGCCCGCGGGTGGGCACCAGGCGGAACTTCGACACCATGCACGTGCACACGGCGCGGGACGCCCACGGGCGCCCAGCAACCAGGCACCAGCCGAAACGCCGACACACCCACCGCGGTGTTTGTGAAGGAAGCTGAGAACTCCCCCAAGTGCAAGCACTGTTTGGGGAATGCGCACTAGCCCAAAGCTTCTTCCGCAGGGGGTTCTCCAGGAGAGCCTCCGGCGGACGATGCCTTCTGGCGACGGCACATTCATGGCGGATGGTCTCTCTGACAAAGAACTGCCCACTCGGAAAGGCTCCCCCCCCCTCCCCACGGGGCTCCCAGCCCCTGGGCCAACCGACCCCCCGACCCTTCCCCCCACCCCAGAACTACGGCCACCCCCGTCGGCTGCTCGAGAGGAGGAGGAGGAGGAGGAGGAGGAGGAGGAGGAGGAGCAGGAGGAGCAGGAGGAGCAGGAGGAGCAGGAGGAGCAGGAGGAGCAGGAGGAAGAGGAGGGCTCCTTTTGTTCCCCTCGGCTGCCGCACCCCGCGTCGGTTGCCACCCCCGAGCGCCCGAGGAGGAGGAGTGGTGGAAGGAGGCCGGCGACGAGGGCGCCAGCAGCTTCGAGAAGGTGTTGGTGCTCTGCAGGGAGCAGCGCGCACGCCAGATGCGGGACAAGCTGGCCGACACGATCACGCTCTTTGGGCACTACGACAAGGACAAGAGCGGGCAGCTGGAGATGCAGGAGATATGCCAGATCCTGGACGACATGGAGCTCCTGCCCAAGTCTGGGGTGGAGCAGATGGCCATCGCACAGATGATCGAGGAGGTGGACGCGGACGGCTCCGGGTATTTCAGCTTCGACGAGTTCGAGCTCATGATCCAGCGCATCCTCGAGACCCTCGCGCAGATCGCTTACAAGGCCGAGACTAGCCAAGCCGCGTCGCTGGAGTACACCGCCGATCAGATCAGAGACCTCCGGGAGATCTTCTATGAGTGCGACACGACGAGCAGTGGCTCCATCGACCGCGGCGCGCTGACGGCAGCCGTGAGCATGATGGGGTTCCGTGTGTCGGCCGCCAAGCTCAAGACCATCACCGACGAGATCGACGTGACCGGCTCGGAGGAGTTCAGCTTCACGGCCTTCGCCCGCGTTCTCCGGGCCATACAGGACGACCTGCAGAGAGCCGCGCCCGCCCTCGCCCCCACGGCCGAGGGGCGGCGTACGGCTTCGGAGCCGCAGGCCGCCGCGGAGAAGAGACTCAGCGCGGCCGCCCAGGCGGAGGAGATCGTGACCCGGAGGGCCCTGATAACGCACTCGGAGCGTGAGCGCCGCGAGAGCGTGGAGTGACGGACATGCTGCAGCTCCCGACCGCGCCGATCGGGCTGGGGTGGATGGGATGGGCGATCGGAGGACCCCGCCGCATCGCCGATGCATCGAAGGTGCGGCGTGATCCAGGCACCCATCTTCGCTATCCTGACGGTCGCCGTGCGTCGGCGGTTTGGCGCGATCTCTTGGCCCCGCCTGCTTCAGCCCCAGCTGGGCCGCCTCCAGCTGGGCCAGCTGCCCCTCCCGACGCCCTGGACCGATGATCCTCAGGACGCGTGTTAACCCACTGCGTGTGTTACCCCGCTCAGCTCCACCGGCAGCACGTACCTTGTGTCAGCCCTCACTACGCCGCCTGCGTCGTACCGAAAGGTCTGGTGGACAGACACACGTTGGCGCTAGCACACGTCCCGAGGATCATCGACTGGAGAGGGCCTTGTAGTAAGTCTGGCCTGTCCCTCTACAGGGGGAATATCCAAAAATAGTCAAAAAATTGTCGGGGGACTAGTTGAGTATTTTTTGACAATTTGGGACTATGTTTTGAGTATGTTTCATTCTTCGGCGAAAACCCCCCAGTAGGGGGACACGCCCGACTCAAACGTTGGCGCTAACACACGTCCCGAGGAGGATCGACTGGAGAGGGCCCTGTGCCCGCGCACCCCCCGAGGCCTCGCCCTGCCCGCCCACAGGGCGCCCCGAGCTGGGCTGCTCGGGAGGGCGGCGCCGGGGTGGTGCGTGCCCTCCGTTTCAAGCTGAGCTCAAGGCGGGCCTGTCCCTCGGCAGGAGGAGTATGCAAACATAGTCAAAAATAGTCTGGAAACGATTTGCTTACTATTTTTGCCCATGGATGGGGTGGTATGTTTGGGTATTTTCTATCTTTCGCCCAGAATCCCCCCTGTAGGGGGACACGCCCGACTTAAAGCTGAGCTCGAGCTGCGCTGCTCCTCACAGTCTGTGCGCTCTGAGCTTTTTCCCCTTCCGACGGGTGTTGGGGCCAACCTCGCCAGACGTCGGCGCACCACGCCGGGGGCTGGAGCCCCTTCGGCGCGCGGTGATTTTCCGAGGCGGGGGCTCGGCTCTGGGCTGTCGGCGGGGCTGGCGCCCCCCGTCACAAGCAGCGAACGTATCCATATCCGCGCCCTCGCGGTCTGGATTCCGGGGCGCGATCCCGCGGACACGCAGTCGCACGCGTTCCGCGCGGGGCATCCGCGAAAGCACGCCCGGATCCGCGGGGGCGCGGCCTGGGGGCCCGGCCCGCGAGGCCGCGGATACGGATAGCCTCGGCCCCCAGTGCTTATTGAGAAACGCGAAGTAGGTTTCCAATGGAAGCATCTCGCCTGTCCGTGCGGTGCTAGCTGCGTGGTTTCACCAGGCCGCTCGGTCCGCATCGAGTAGCGGTGATTCATGCTGGTTCTCTACATGTTGTAAAGAGGCGGCGGATACGGTGCCAATCTGCACCACTCTAGGATTGAGGTGGGAGATTCATAAGATGAGTCTCTACGGCTACTGGCGTTTCGACAAAGGCGAAGCGACCAGATCCGAAGGCTCCTGCCGCTGCCACGGGCAGCTGGGCGGATGCTAGATGCATTCGCCCGCTCCTCTTGGTACTCCTGGCGATTCGACTCTAAAAGCTTGCTTGCCTGGATGATGCACCCGTAATGAACCCGTGAACCGTTGAGTGTTAAGCCCCTGCCCTCTTGCGCCTCTACGCGCTTGAGCCCTTGGGCCCTGGGGCCATTGAACCCTTGGGCCCTTGAGTTCTTGCAGTGGCATCCCCAGACCAACCTGGTGCGCTTGGGTCCGGCTGGAGCTGAGGTGAAACTCCGAATCCCCACACTCGCGGATACGTGAGAGCGAGGGGGCTCCTGGGTTGCCCGACCAGGGCTACCGGGCTCGAGCGCCAATGTACCAGTCGGGCCGCCGATTGCGAAGACTTTGCGGCCGGTGCCGCGACCCTGAAGGGGGCCGACGACGAAGACGGCGACGATGAAAATATCCAAAAAGTTCAGGAATGGGAGGGAGGAGGAGAGGGGGTCGGAGGAGGTGAAGGGAAACGGGAGAAGGATTGAGGGAGAACCAGTCAGGCCGCCGATTTCTCTGGCAAGACGAGCTGGTTGGTCCGCGCGGCGAGTCGTCGGCGGGCCGCAGAGTTCGGAGTGCAGCGCTACAGAGAGAGAGAGAGAGAGAGAGAGAGCCGCCGCAGGCACCGCACCTCTTCCGCACTCTGAGTCCGCCGCAGGCGGCGACTTGTTGCAAGACGGTGTGGGTGGGTGGGAGGGGGAGGAGGAGGAGGAGGAGGAGGAGGAGGAGGAGGAGGAGGAGGAGGAGGAGGAGGAGGAGGGGAGGAGGAGGAGGAGGAGGAGGAGGAGGAGGAGGGAGGGGAGGAGGAGCAGGAGGAGGAGGAGGAGGAGGAGGAGGAGGTGGGAGGAGGAAGTGGAGGGGGAGGGGAGGGAGGGGGAGGGGGAGGAGGGAGGAGGAGGAGGAGGAGGAGGAGGAGGAGGAGGAGGAGGAGGGAGGAGAGGAGGGGAGGAGGAGCAGGAGGGAGGAGGAGGAGGAGGGAGGAGGAGGAGGGGGAGGAGGAGGGGGAGGGGAGGAGGAGGGAGGAGGAGGAGGATGGGAGGAGGAGGAGGCGGAGGAGGAGGAGGCGAGGCGGAGGAGGAGGAGGAGGAGGAGGAGGAGGAGGAGAGGAGGAGAGGAGGAGGAGGAGGAGGGGGAGCAGTTGAGGTGGAGGAGGAGGAGGACGACGAGGAGGAGGAGGAGGAGGAGAGGAGTAGGAGGAGGAGGAGGAGGAGAGGAGGAGGAGGAGGCGGAGCGAGGAGGAGGAGGAGAAGGAAAAGGAGGAGGAGGAGGAGGAGGAGGAGGAGGAGGAGGAGGAGGAGGAGGAGGGGAGGAGGAGGAGGAGGAGGAGGAGGAGGGAGGGAGGGAGGGGGGAGGAGGGCAGGCGAGCGGCGGGCGGGCGGGGCGGGCGGGCGGGGGCGGGAGGAGGGAGGGAGGGAGGGAGGGAGGGAGGGAGGGGAGGAGGAGGAGGAGGAGGAAGGAGGAGGAGGAGGAGGAAGGAGGAGGAGGAGGGAGGAGGAGGAAGGAGGAGGAGGATGGAAAAGGTGGATGAAATGGTAGAGAAAAAGGAGGAGGAGAGGAAAAGAAGGAGGAGCAGGAGGAGGAGGAGGAGGAGGAGGAGGAGGGAGGAGGAGGGATGAGGGAGGAGGAGCGGAGAAGTGGAGGAGTTGGCAGCGTGGTGGGTGGCTCGCGGGTGGGTCGCGGGTGGGTCGTTTGCGGTTGGTAGCGACTGCAAGGGCAACCAACAGAGCAGCAACAGCAACCAGATCAGACCGCACCGCGGACCCCCACTTCGGCCACGCAGCCAGGGACAGCGGACGTTCGCTCGGCCCCTTCACTTTGATTACAAGCCACCACGGGCCCAACGAAAGCATCCTTGGGAGTGGCTCGGGCTTGAGGAGGGCGGGAGGGCGAAAACATCCTTGGGAGTGGCTCGGGTCTGGGGGAGCGGGAGGGGAGCACAGGGAAGGGGAGGGGGGAGGAATTGCGAGGAACAGGAGGAGGAGGAGGAGGAGGACCAGTGTAAAGTCAAGAGTCATCAACGATGATGGAATAGACCCTCCCTCCAAGCTCCCTCTTCACAGGCCCCTACAACGGTTCATTTCCACTGAGGGAACTGCTGCGTTGGAAGATAGCCGTTTGAAGACCATGAAGCATGCCAAAATATTGCTCTCGGGATTCCAACGCGACGGATCAACCTGATAGTTGCGTCTTGGCGATCCTGAATCGCGCAAGAACGCCATTCCTGGGACTTCAACATCGCGAATAAACTTAACTGTTGCACCCTCATAATCTTGAACCCTTCCGAAACACAAATTCTGGTACGCTGTTCATGGGGACCCGTGGGACTTGTACAACATTTCAAATACAAATGTACGCGGCGCTGAGGCGAGAGCCACATTTTGAAAAGGAGCCGCCCTCAATCAGTGAATCTCTTGCATTTGTAGCAACGAATGTGCGCGGCGCTGAGGCGAGAGCCACATTTTGAAAAGGAGCCGCCCTCAATCCGGAAAACCGTTATAAATGTTTGAAACGAATGTGCGCGGCGCTGAGGCGAGAGCCACATTTTGAAAACGACCCGCCCTCAATCGTGAAACTCTTGCAAATGTTTAAGTAATGTGCGCGGCGCTGAGGCGAGAGCCACATTTTAAAAGCGACCCGCCCTCATTCCGTGAAACTCCTGCTAACGTTTAAGAAGAATATGCGCGGCGTGAAGGCGAGAGCGGCATTTTGAAAACGACCCGCCCTCCATCTGTGAAGCTGCTACTGTCTGTTAAGCTTAAGGGTCGTAAGTTGGGGGGAAGTCTCGGGCGAAACGCCCGGCCCGCCCTAAAAATTGGCCCCGGGTTACGACAGGGAGAAGTTATTCATCGAGGACGCCGGCGGCGCATCACCGGCCGCTCCCTGGGAGTTTTTCGAAGAGGTGCGCAGCATCGAAAGTCGTGACGCGGCGCGTATGCCAGCTATCAAATAGCCGTCGGCCCATCCCGCCACCGTGCTTGGGTTTTGGGTCGGACGGAGTCCTCATGGACGCTTCCTGGGGTCTCGAGAGGGCTCTCGGGGGCCTCTGCGGGGCAGTTTAGGGGCCTCTTGGGGGCGTCCCAAGGGGCTTCTTGGAGACCTCTGGGGGCCCTCTTGGGGCCTCTTGGGGCTCTTTTGGGGTTTGTTGGGGGCCTCCAGGGGGCCGCTGAGGGCCTCCTGGGGGCCTCTTGAGCCGAAAGCTCGACATGTTCATTCGGGTACCCCTTCTGGGCCTCCTCTTGGGGCCATCCTGGGGCCCCTCTTGGGCCGTCCCGGGGGCCTCTTGGGCGGTCTTGGGGCCCTCTTGGGCCGTCTTGGGGCCGTCTTGGGGGCCTGTTGGGCCGTCCTGGGGCGATCTTGGGGGCCTCTTGGGCCGTCGTGGAGCGTGGGTAAGCCGAAATGGCGTGAACGTGAGAATCCTTCAAAAACCATTGGAAAAATTAATGATTTATGCTTCTCGGGGCTGTCTTGGGGGTGCTCTTGGAGCCCTCTTGGGCCGTCTTGGAAGCGTCTTGGGCCGTCTGGAGGCCATCTTAGGCGTCTTGGAGCGATTTGGAACCGTCTGGAGGCTCTCTTGGACTGCTCGGGACTCTCTTGGACAGGCTTGGGGCGCCCGTGGGTCGTCCCCGGGCAGTTTGAGACCTTGAAGGGGGCCGGCGGCAGAGTGGGGCCGGCGGCAGAGTGGGGCCCCCTCGGAGGGATTTTCAGGAGGTTTTTGACCAGGCACTGGAGAAGGGGGCCAAAGACTGTGCCAGACACTGTGTCAGAGAGGTCTCGCACGGCCCAACCCGCAGGGCGGGAGCGGCCGGATTTTAAGGGCTTCGCCCTCTGCCGCCGGCCCCCCTGTTACTAGTGCGGGCGGCTGCGCGGGGGTCTCCTTGGGGCCTGTTGGGGGTCTCCTTGGGGGCCGCTTGGGGGCCTCTTGGGGGTCTTCTCCTTCGGGCCTCTTGGGGGTCTCCTTGGGGCCTCTTGGAGACCTTGGAGCTTCCAGGGGCCCTCTCGGGGCGGAAAGGTAGAGTTTTCGGTTCGTGGACTCCCTCTTGGGCCTCTCTTGGGACCGTCTTGGGGCCCTTTTGGGCCGTCTGGGGCGCCTCTTGGACCGTCTTCGGGCCCTCTTCGGCCGTCTTGGGGCCGTCTTAGGGACCTCTTGGGCCGTTATGGGGGCTTCTAGGGCCGTCGTGGGGCGATCTTGGGAACCTTTTGGTCCGTCTCGGAGCGTCGGAAAGCCGAAAAGGCAAGAAGGCCAAAAACGCGCAAAAACGTAAGGAGCATCTGTGATTGTTGCTTCGCGGAGCCCTCTTGGAAGGCCTCTTGGAGGACTCTTGAACCGTCTTGGGGGCATCTTGGGCCGTCTCGGGGCCATCGTGGGACATCTTGGAGGCATCTTGGGCCGTCTGCCTCCTGAGGCTCTCTTCGGAGCCTCGTCGGGCAATCTTGGATGCCTCTCGGGCCGTTCTGGCCGCGCGGTGGCGTCACCATGAAAATCCTGGGGTGGCCCAGAGCAGCCTGGATTTGAGGTTCACCCCCCCGTTGGCTGTTTGGTGGCGCGGTGGGATCCCTTGGCGGACAGAAAACAGGAGGCAGGAAACAGGATTGGAGAGACAAGTGGCCAAACAACAAATGACAACACACTGCACATGACAGCAGACCGCACACACCTTCGCAGCCTTGCGCCCCGAGAGGGGGCCGGCGGATAAGGAAAAGTAATGGTGGAGGAGGAGGA